GGGAGTACCACAAGCTTCGAAGGCCGGGTCACCGGGTGTTTGAATTATTGCATTAGAGTATTAGACATTTAGACACTCAAGACACTATGCGTGGTGTTTTATTGCAATGAATAAATGAATAAATATTGTATTTATGATGAAAAATAGTTGTGTGTACCTAGGTTTATTTATTGGTATTTCAATAAGATAATTTTAAAGTATGGATTCATATTGCAAATCATTTATTGCCTTATGAAATACCTATTAACTGCCTAGGAGTTGACAATTGAAAATTATAGCAAAATTTCAGATAACAGAATACAGACCATTACAAATTTAATAATTTCTATATTTTGTAAGTAATTCAAATCTATTTATATTAACTTACTTCTTTATATTTACTTTTGGTTCAATATTTACCTAATATTGGTATTTGGTACCTTCTCTTAAAAATATTTAAATATATTTAAAACACTATTACATTAACAATAATAGCCAATAGGTAATGTGCCTAAGTATAATAATATAACTAATATAACTTTTAAAATAATATTTTAAACTTACATAATATTATTGTTCGGTAACTCAACAGTAAACATTTAAATGGACAGTCATAGTTCTTACAATATTTCTAATAAATTTGGAACAATATTGGGAAGGGATTTATATTTTAAATACTATTTGTTATGAACTTATGACTATTATGTTTATTTTATTGAATTTGTGACTATATTAATTATACTATACATTTTTATTTATATCAACTTGCTAATGTATGATATAAGCATATTTCATATGAATTATGAAATTTTAACAATATTATAGGTACATTAGTATGGTCTATATTTAATGCACCTTATTAGCAAATAATTAATATAACCGGCCTTCGAGTAATGTGGAGGTACCCCTAGCAGTATTCATGTTAACTACATTTGTGCCGTTAAAAATTGTGCCACTTTTTTCGCGGAGTAATATCACATTATCACCTTCTCATCTCTACATCGTCAGATATACGGTATTATATTATTACCACGGTCTATCTTCTAGACCGTGATTGTTATTATAATAGTTAGGTATCTGTGATTATGATTTATGCTATAAGAGTATACGCGTTCTAGCTAGAAAATATAATAATATGCATAATTATTATGCATGTTATGAAAAATAATAACATAATAAATAGGCTTCTTGGCCCATACGGCCGGGCGACTAATAAAATTGTTTGTACTAAAAAATTAATGTTTGTACTCAGTGAAGAATCACTTCTTGATAAGTAGGAAATCACAATACTACATACTCTATTGCCTAAATATATCATAAAAGGGGTTCTACACTTCTATTTCTAATACAATTATTTTTTTCCAATAGACTCAAAAAATCAAGATGGCTAAATAATAAATAATAATTAATATGATTGACATATTGTGTTTATGGTTTAAACTTTTAAATATTAATTATATATGTTTGGAAATCGTTTGTACTATAAATGCATGTTTATAATCTGTGAAGAATCACTTCCTGATAAGTAGGAAATCGCAATACTGCATACTCTATTGCCTAAATATATCATAAAAGGGGTTCTACACTTCTATTTCTAATAAACTTATTTTTTTTCAATAGACTCAAAAATCAAGATGGCTAAATAATAATTAATAGGATTGTCGATTGACATTGTGTTTATGGTTTAAACTTCTAAGTATTAATTATATATCTGTATTTTTAAAACAATATTTATTTTCTCATTGCATTGAATAAAGTATAATAATATGTAGGTACCTTGTACCTACAACTATGGGTGAATAGGCTATTTTTGGCCTACAAGGAAATTTAAAATACTGAGTGGGGCTCTCTGGGAAATTCCCGGTAGGCTTGTCCGCCCATGTAATATTGTAATATTGTAATTTGTAAAATACTAAATAAGTAGTACTAAAGTACCTACTATAATGCTAGATTTACACGTTCATGTTTATCCATGCATGTTGAGGCTACGGATTAGTATATTAATCCGTGGTTGAGGCGCCAGTGAGGTGTAAACATGTTCTGGTGCGCAAGTGTAAATAAAAATTGGAATATTCCAACATTACTGGCGAGCTGGCGCGTATATGATGGTGCCACAACAAACATGCACGTGTAAACCCACCTTAAGTACTACCTATTCAGTACTAAGCATAAATTCTTCTTTTATTGGTTTAATTATACTATATCGTTGTCTTACGGTTGTCACCTGTCGGGTTGAGTATAGGTAAGTTGGTAAGTACATTATAAAATATAAATACATTACAAAAATCCAAGTGGGTACTAATAGAAATTATTACAAACCGTTTGAACTTGAAACTTTGAATGTGAATAGTGATTCCTCCAATGCTATTGAGTCTAGATGAGCAATAATAAGGAATTAAAATACAATTGAATTTTAAAGATCAGAAATCTAATATTGTTTTATACCTATGTATATTAATTAATTGCCATTGGTCACAGAAAAAGAATTTGCCATGTTACGCACTTCTAAGACGGAGACAACATTTGTGAGTACCACGTTTACGCTACCAAAGTTTAAAAAGGGGTAAATCTATGAGCATTTAATTTGTCTTAGGCAATGCTGCGCACAATCAGCTATATTTTTGAAGTGCATACCTAGACATTTTTATAAACGAATCAAAAAAGAAACAAACAAATTAAAAATGTTAAATGTCTTAACTCAAAAGAGCAATTTTTTTTAAAATTATTTCGCGTACCTACCTATATATTACACTAATATACATATTTGATGCAAATTAAAAGTAGGTACCTAACTAAGAATATTTTTATTAAATTACAACAAAATAAGAAAATCGTTCCATGAGAAATTGTTAGTTTACCTACTGGTGAATATCCAATGTCAAAAATATTTTAACTACAATCTATCGAAAAAAATTAACTTGACTCTCAAGAAAACTTTTGTATCTACACTTTTGCATCTATACTTTTGTATTAAACTTTCATATTAAAGATATAAAAAGAACATTTTTTATGCATTTCTAACTCAAAATAATTTTAATATTTTGTGGTTTTGACGAAATTATTCAATATTTTAATTTCAGATGCTCATTCAAATTTACTGTGAGTTAACGCAAAATTATTTATTAAATAGGTACCCTAATAAGAATTTACGAGGAACCGTGTATTAAATGTTCAAGTTTTTTGACCAAGCTAAAATTTTTTTGTTGACAATTGTAATTTAAAAAAAATAATAAAAATCAAAAATTCATAAATAGCTTAAAAAGAGTTGAGAAATTTTGAAAATGTCCTAATGTATGGAAAATTGTCATAAACATTTGGTGAAAAATCATGTAACTGCAGTAATTTTTTTTAGTAACACCAAAATTGTGTATAATGTCTAGGTTTTTTTTTAAACATTCAGGTAATCATAACATTATTAGGTATTGTTCAGACTTCTATAATATTTATTTATCTCAAATAATTTAAATAAATATATTGTTTCACAATAAAAGTTACAAATGCTCAAAATGAATTGGTACATATTATATAACATTGCAAATCTTTAATTTATTGTTAGGTACACATTTAATTAAAGTAAAAATATAGTATAAATAAATACACTCAATTGTCCATAAATTGAATACAATAATAATAACATAAAAAAAAATCTTTTGCTTTCTATCTTCATAGAATTGCATGTATAAGTGTATATTTTATTGGATTCTGGAACATACTGAGTAAATAATAAAGTCAAAAAATCATTAATATACGTATAATGTATATGAATGTTAAAAATTGTTTGGCTCGTTAGTTTTTTTTAAAGAATGTTTAGGAAATCTGAGCATTAAAATGGTAGATAATATTATGATATAAAAATTTTTGGTACCTATCTGGTACATTTTTCTTGCCATACCACTATACCAGATATTTAGTCTTTAATAAAAGTATTGAAAAATAGCAAATATCTTAAAAAAAAAAAATTGGAACTAAAATTATTATAATTTGTTTATTTGTACTTGAAATTTGTTTTGTAATTATATAACTTAATTAATTATACATACATGTTAATCAATAAACAAATTTAAAAGTAATGGGTATACAAGATGTATAATAATGTGTAAAATTAAATATCGTCAATCTCCATGATAACTGAAGTTTTATTTTGAATATATAATTAATCTAAATTTAGATAAATTTACTAATTTTAAATCCCAATCAACAAAACAATTTTAATGGGAAATAAATGGCAGTAAAATCTGTAGCATGAACAAATATACCTAATTATTCATAGAAGTAATACAATAATAATATTAATAATAATTATAACTTATAATAATACTCTTAAATTAAAAATATTTTTGAAGTTTACAGTTTCCCATTCCAAAATTGTAAATCTTAAAATGTTTTTATAATGTATCTACCCAATATATATATTTTTAAATAATATTAATCTGTACAATACAAATTAAACGCTGTGTGTTGATAACAGCAACAATTGAGAAAGGCTGGACCGACTTAGCTCATTTTTTATTTTATATTTGTAATACATCGAATGAGGTTAGACAAAAATTGATAATTATAAAATTGTTGTTTGTATTTATGTTTAAATTTTTGTACTTGTTATAATATAGTAATTAAATTAATTAATTATATAAACATTATATATATTAATCAACACAAACATGTAATAAGGAAGTATGAAATTATATTAATTTAACCAAAAATGCTAAATGATATCTAAGACCTAATTCAAATATATTTTTCGTCTAAATTAAGGCTTTAATTTTTTTTAATTACTTTTAAATCCTTACTAACAAAATTCCTAGATGGTACAATAAGTTAATAATTATATATACATTTCTTAAAAGTGCAGGTAGGTAAAAAAAAATTGGTACATAATTTGAATTATGGTACAAGATAGATAGATAAATATTATGTTTAATGTGTTACGCTTATTACAAAAATATTCATAAGGGTGTTAGTAATATCATATACACCATACAAGTACTATTAAATTATCTTAAAATAGATTGTAGCATTGATTAATACAACCTAGTTAAATCTTCAATGAGATTGATTACATCTTTAATACCAATCTCTGTCTTTTCTAATATTATCTGGAATTCACAATCATATGATCCCTAAAAAAAGGTCACATGCAGTTGTATGTATTAATACTATTACATCTAATAATAATTAAAGATTAATTAGGTAGACACTTATAAATCTAAATAGAAATAGTTATCTCCAACAAAACTAATTTATAACACCAATGTAATCCACAATAGTGTTTAAACACTTTTATAGTTTTATGTACTTATATTTTTTATAATTCTTTGCTTCATTATTTTTATTCGTATAAAATAATTTGCAATAATTAAAAATGATATACAAATTTTATACTCAATTTTAAAATATTGCATTAAGTACAATGATTCCAAGAGGACATACCAAAAATCAAAGTATGTTTTTTTTTTTTTTGAGAAATTCGGAAACAAGCTATTAGGTATAAACTGTGCATTGTTATCTAAACCATTAAAAAACCACTATATACAAATTGTGGTAGAACCGAAGTGAAATAGAGGTAACTTTGGTTACATTACATTTATTTTTCTGGAATTTTGTTATCGTGAAATAATTGGTATGGATGAATCTGGGCTATCTTTAAAATAGCTTTCATAAAGGTAAGTCTATAAATTACTTGGGAATAACTATTATTTATTAAATAATATTACAACAACAAATATTACTATTACCTTTAGTCCTTTAATAACTGACTCCATGTCAGAAAGAGGCAATTTTAAAAAACTTTTTATCAAATTCCCATCAAAAAATCCTTTGTTAGATGTTGTGAACTCTGTTTGATGGTGATGGGATAGGATTCCTGCTCCATTAACAACAGTAGCTAAACTATTTTGAAAATCTGACAGGAAGCCAAACAGTTTTGGACTCATTTTTGTAATAAATCCTGTTTAGATTATTCCAAATAGGTAATTACAATCATAGAACTTAAAATGAAAATTAAGGTCTACAAAATTATATGAAAACTATGCATCGAGGAAACCTAAATAGTAAGCTTTAAAATAACATTAAAAGTATACTATTTAATTATATAATTTAAAGTTGTATACAAACATTTAAAATGGTACTTAGTAAATTGCGGTGCTTACATCAATAATTTTCTGGTTATTTCATTTTAAAATTTAATAACATAGTTACCATGTAGAAACAAGACATTTAACACTTACATAAATCACAAGACTAAATTCACTGGGACAATAAATACAACCAATGTCCAACAGATTATCTGCAAACAATCCAAATACTACTTTACCACAATACCACTGGAACTATAATATAACCATCCTATTTTGAAAAACAAAGTTATAATAATAAATTGGATAAACAATGATATAAAGAAATGGAAAACATAAAAATCTAAAAAACCAATTGAAAATCTAAGAGCAAAAAACTTGATAATGATGGTATTTTCATATATTGCAACCAATTTCCTCCAACAAGAAAATACATAAATATATATATATATATATATATATATATATATAACTAGTACTTTAAATGTCACGCGATCATTCATTCTAACCTTTCAAGGAAGATTTAATAAGAATTAACTATTAAGTACTTAATGCAATTTCAAAACCTTCCATGGGTATTGGGTGAAAATGAAAATGTAATGGAAAACATGTACAAAAGCTATTCAATTACTTTGAGAAAGATGTAAAATTTGATCTGAAACACATGTTTTTAATTTATACTAATGAAAAATACTCTTTATTAGAACAGGGGTACCTAATAATAATAATAATAATAATAATAATAATAGTAAGACTAGTAGATTGTCTTAGAGACTATAGCAAAGAAGCAACACTATGATTACAACACTTTAATTAAAAAGTTTGTGTGTTATATTTTCTGACAGTAACATGTAAATTGGGTATTTGGGAAGAAATACTATGGTATCTATGAATTCACATACAGGCATGCAATTAAAATGTATGATAATAACTAAAGAATTTATGATAAACAATAATGTATATGTATACTAAGTACCTATTGTAAAATTAAATAAAGAAAAAGCCGCCAAGTAGGTAACCTCTCTACTGTGCAGTATGTTTTGATTGTACCTTGTCATTAAGTAGGTCACTATAATAGATGTGTTAAATTTGAATTTATTTATCAATTATTGTACACTACAAAAAAGCAGTGAAGACAGTCTACATTTTAAGTAATCATGGTTACCAAACAATTATTTTAATAAAAATATAAAAATTAAACTATTTTTGTATTTTTTTCTCTGATTATTTTAGAAAGTACTAAACAAGTTCTACTTTTAACTCACCAAAGTAGGTACAAGTTTTCCCATTTTCTACAATAAACCACCCTCAAATTTGATGATTGGAATCTTTATTCTAGAAAAAGTGTCTTCAGACACACAAAAAACAACACATATCATTGTAAAATCAATACATTCATTGTTCAACTCAGAAATTAAAAGGAATAAAAGAATATACCTACTTTTACTATTTAATTATAAGATTATATAAACATTCTGAACTATAATAAAGATTTAAGTATATGTACATAATATGTTTCAGTCTTAACCTTATATTTTCTTTGCTAACCAAACTATTTGGATTACATTTTTCTACAATTGTTTATATTTAATTTTAATTCAATTCAAATCAACAATGCCTTTTATGGTTTTTATTTTACTTATAGGCATGTTCCAGGAACTGGAACTAAACTTAAAAGAATCGGTCTTTTACTATTAAAGTTATTCCAGACAACCGGAACCTTTAAAATATTAAAAATTGGAACCGAAATCTTTATTTTAATAAATAAAGTACAGGAACCAAACCGGAATTTTTAAATTTAATATTAAATAATAGAAACCAGAACAGTTATTTTTTTATTTTTGGAAAACTAGTACCGAATAAATTCAAAAGGTTCCAGTCCCCGGTATTCATATAGAAAAAAAGGTGCTCTGCTGTACAGTAGGTTACAAGTGGGTTACTGTATAATGGATAGTATTAAATTTGAATTCAATGATATAATATCATCATATAAGAAAAACGATTCTGAGCGGAGACGGTATGTCAGTCTAGGTAAAACTGTAATAGACATATTATATACTTATCTATGGTCTTAAAAAAAATTGACTTATATTAGGTACCTATAATAAATTCCAAATTAATCATATCACAATATCCATTAGGTACTTATAACGCGTTATACATCAACAACAAACCCTGAAACTATCATATATATATAATAGTGTACTTTAAAAGTTTCAAGTACCCACAAATAATATTATACAATCACAACAAAATAACTAAAATAGTTATTATAGGTATTTTATTATGTAATTTCGTCCAAATTTGAACTTAAAATGACTATACAAATAAACTGTGTCTATGTATTTTTTAGATTTTTTGGTAACAGAATTGACTATTTATGTGGAATCTTGTTTTAAATTTTCAATTCTTAGATATAAAAGTTGAACATTTTATAAATGTTTAACTACAAAATAATTATTCAATTTTAAATTTGATACATTTTGTCAAAATTCGATCTTTAAATGCTTTTAAAAAAAATTGTGGCTATGTATTTTTAATATTTTTCAACTGATATTCTAACAATATATCGGGAGCCTTGTATTAAATTTCTACACTTTTTGTCCAAACAGTTAAAACTTTATTGATATTAAAATTAATATTATTATTTATTGATATTTAAAAACAAACTAAAAAAATTGAAAACTGAAAATGTGCGTAAACAGCTCAAAAAGAGTCAAAATATTTTCAAAATTTTATGGTATATAGAAAATGCTAATTTAAACATTCAGTGAAATTTTCAAGTATCTACAGTCAATCGTTTTTTAATTACAACAAAATAAGGAAATCGCTACATTAGAAATCGAGTGAATATCCAATGTTGTAAAAATTTGAATTTCAAACGCTTTTAAAAATTTAATTTGACTTTCTTATAGACATTTTTTTTTTTTGATAAATAGGAAATATCTTATAAGGAATCTTGTATTACATTTTAAAATCTTAGATTTAAAAAGAAACATTTTTACTGAATTCCTTAACTCAAAATAATTTGCTAATTTTCGTGATTTTTCCATATTTTGTCAATTTTTGAACTTTAAATGCTTATAAAAAAAAAACTGTGACTAAGGATTTTTAATATTTTTCATCTGCCTTTGAAACAATATAGTAATATCCTTGTATTAAATTTTCAAGTATTTTTACTCAACAAATACATTTTTATTGATATTCGTAAGAAAAAAAAACTAATTAAAGTGGAAACTGAAAATGTCCCTTAACAGTTCAAAATAAATCAAAATATTTTGAAAATGTTATCGTGTATAGAAAATGCAAATATAAACAACCAGTGAAAATTTCATGTATATACGTTCATTTGTTTTAGAGTTACACCAATAACCAAAATCGATTTTTTGGAAAACCAATTTTGCGTAAAAATTCCCGTTTTCCTTAATTTTTATGTTGTTTTTCACGGTGCTTTTGAAAACTACAGGGAAATTTAACTTTTGACCCCCTCAAAGTACCAACTAGATTCACTTTCCTATCAGAAAAGCTACTGTTGAAGAAAATCCAAGCACTTTTACTGTCCTAAAACGTGATGACAGGCACAAAAAAAAAAATTAAAATAAAATAAAAACACACATCATTGTAAAATCAATACATTCATCGTTCCACTCAGAATCTAAAAGTAGGTCTCACTCTGCTGTACAGTAGGAGTGTAGGACAAAAGTGAGTAAAAAGACATGGATGGTGTTAAATTTGAATTCAATGATTATATAATATCATATTATACAAAAAATGATTCTGAGCAAAGACGGTCAACCTAGTTACTAAGTATATTCGATGATATTATTGTGAATAAAGTAATTTATTTACCTATTTACATGGAACCTTGTTTTAAATTTTAAATCCTTAGCTATAAAAATTGATATTTTATACATTTTTAACTGCAAATTAATTATTAAATTTTAAATTTGACACATTTTGTCAAAATTTGAACTTTAAATGCTTATAAAAAAAATTGTGCCTATGTATTTTTAATATTTTTAAATTTTAATATTTGTCAAAATGTAAAACTAAAATGCCTATAAAAAAAATTTGTGACTGTATTTTTCATACTTTTCAACTGCTATTGTATTGACATTTTTAGAAAAAAAAAGATAAAAAAAGAACAGGGAAAGCAATTTTACTTCCATTATCTACACTGTGATGATAAACACAAAAATAAAAATAATAAGAAAACACATTATTGTAATATCATTACATTCATCGCTCCGCTCAGAATTTTAAATAGTTAGAATAGCTATTTTCATATAGCTTATGAAGATATGATAACCCAAGGGCCAAGATATTATAAGATTCTAAATTCCATTTAGTTTAAATAGATATTTCTGTTAAGTTTTTTAATTTATATTGTCATGTTTTTACATCAGTACACAAATTTAAGAATAAATTGACTTTAACCAACTTTTAATACTAATTTAAAGCATACTATTTTGTTTTACTAAGTGCAGTAGGTACTCTTAATATTCTATTGGTTTTAAGTTTGAAATTTAATCTACTGTGTATAAAGAATTAAGTCTAAACTCTAAATACAAGTAAAAATAAACATGTCAAATTAGGTACGTTTATTATCATATTATTTTCTACAAACCAAGAGCTCCACTAATTGTGCCATAAAGAATACTTCCTTGAACTGATAATTGTGTTTCATATGCATTTTCAAATTGTTTCATAACTAATGAACCATGTCTAAAAACATTTACCAAATCACCCAAGTGGAATCTACCAATTTCTTGAAATTTATTATGTTGATAATCACCAGGAATAAAATTACTAAAAAAAAAATTACAATTATAATAGGTATACTAATTAATTACATAAATACATAATCATAATTAAATAGTTTGAAAAATTTACCTGTGTTTATAAAAAACATATAAGTATTTGTCATTTTCTGCTCCGATAAATAAATCATCATCAATAATCTCTATGGCGGATGACCATTTTAGGCAATCATCTGTTACTATCTAAGCATAACATAAAAAAAAAAACAAGTTTTCATTAAATTAATAAATACAAATATTAAATAGTTAAACTACCTTTTCTAAATTGGTTTCATCAGTTTTGTACTTAAATAGTGCTAATGAATTCATTAAATCACCACAAAGAATATATTTTCCATTAGTTTTAATATGCTGGGATAAACTGTTATTATTTAGTGTGCATCGAAGAACCAATTTTTTTTCATGAGTCCAGCTATATAATTGTACCTATATAATTGTAAATCTAGTATATTTATATAATCAAACTATAGTGTTCTACAGGTAATGGTCAGTGTCTGATCTTGAATTCTGAGAATCATATTGCAAAAGAAAAATTGTTATTATTTATAAGTACTTATGTTTATTATTAATATAAAATAATTGTTTAACATTAGTCGATCCTAAAAGAAAAAATATACCCTTAGTAGATCTTACGCAAAAACAGTTTGACCATCCCTGTTTTATATTGTAAGCAAAATAAATAAAAATATTATAATTTATTTGGATTTATAAATATATATTATTTAACTTACTGAACTATTAACTGTAGCTATAAGCATGTCATGAAATGTAACCATGCTAAAACATCCACCATAAACAATTTTTTCTGATATTTGTGTCAGTTTTGATAAAGAAGTATCATAATGGAATACAACAATTCGCCCTTCTTTAGGATCTTGACATTCTTCTGCCATAAGAGCCGTTCCCAATACATAATAAGTATTTGGATCATTCGCCAATTTAGTTGATATGATGCTTAATGCATATTCGTTGGAATATAATTGATATACATGTAAAACTATATATATATACCAAGTATTATAGAATTAATACAATGTATTTTATGTTTGATTTTTTATTTTACAATTAAATCATTTACTTTCAAAAGTATCTTGATGCAATATTATCATACTGCTGATTTCAAATTCAGGATTGAAATCACTGTCACTTAATGAACTTGTTGCACTACTGCTGGACAATTCTTGATCAGTTAGAATACGATTTCCCATCGCGCTAGAAATATTTTGTGTTCTAGTACTAGCACTAGGGTGAACAGTTCCTTTCATAATTTCATCTTTATTATTTTTTTTGATAGTTGTTATACCAAATGTCTAGTAAAAAAATAACTTAAAATACAAAATAAAAAAAAATATTGCTGGTTAACAATACCTTGCTTGCTTCTTGATATGCAATTCTCCGAGGAGATTCTCCTAGGGGAATTGTACGCACATGATGTTTTTTCTCCATATCAATAACACCAATAATAATAGAGGTGTCTGTAGCCAGAATCAAACTTTTTTTTAAATAAACAAATTTAATTAAATAATATAATTAAATAGTTATAGTGACATCTAAGTTTCTTTACCTTTTAGGATAATTATCCGTATTAACCATACATATATTATTAACTTTTATTGAATTGACATTGGTAAATACCAGCTTTTTATTAGAAGAATGAATTATAATTGGAAAATCAGAACATATAAAAATACTTGAAATAGTTTGAAAAGTTTTGATTAATGCTGGTCGATTACCAAGTTTAATCTAAAATAAAAATTCAAGAGCTTAATAGTTTATATTAATTATTTAGGTAAAAGGTAAATTTGATTTATTAATACTAACCTTTCCATTCTTATATAATTTACCAGTTTCAATATTTAAGTAAAAATAACATAAACTACCATTTCCCAATGCACAAAATAAGTAATGTATATTTTCTAATGTAACAAAAGATATTGATCGAGGAACAATTCCTAAAAAATACAAGAATAATTTGAATACAAATATAACCTTACTTATTGTATACAACTTTGCTCTTTTAATTTAGCAATAAAATCTCTGGTAATTTTAAATTTCTAGATAAAAACAGAAAATAATATTTTTGTTTTTATGAAGACGACATGCCATCTGAAATGTCATACATTTATATTTTTACTTTCAAATGGTTTTGTTTGGTGTACTGTTTTTACTAATTTAATATCTACAACTTAAGAGGAAATAACACTGACATTTGTCGACTCCGTCTTACAAGTGCTTAACATAGCAAATTTATAGTCAGAAAATCATGACTAGTTTTGTTAGTTAAAAAATTAGAGTGAATCGACCTATTATGAAACTTGATGGTTTTTTTTTATGATAGTTCGGTTTTTAAGTGAGTAATGAGTATGTTTAATTTACCCTATAATATACACACAAAAGTTGCTAAAAAATTAAACCATCTTAAAAACACATTTACAAATACAGATAATGTTCTTATCATCAAGTTTCCTAATATGTCAATATTCACTCTAATTTTTAAACCAACAAAGCTAAATGTGATTTTCTGAACGTAAATTCTCTATGTTAGGCACTTAATACAGAGACAATAAATACTAGATGATACTTTACACAAAATAATTGGTGAATTTGACGTGCGAGATGAATATGGATAACAATAAAAACAATTAAAGCTCAAAACAAAATTACTAGAACAGGACAAATTCTGATTAGTGATGTCATGCTTTATATACCTAGTCTCACTTTCACATAGTCTTATATGTTTGACAAGTTTTTATTGATACCTAAATATATTATAAATACAAAATATATTGTTCTGTATATTTTTTACTAATTTAATAAAACTTAATCCCATACATTAATGATAACTATTTATTACCTTCAGATAAATTTTCTTTTTCAAGTTCTACGAAATCTGGAAGTTTAAGTACTTTAATAGATGTATCTGTCCATAGACCAATAGCAAGCAACATTATAGTTTCACCGAACTTGTTTTTAAATAAACAAATGTCAAGACAAGACGCTTCATGTTCTAATGTAATATGCCTATTAACATGTTTTGAAAAAAAAAATTAATACCAAACATTAAATGTATATGTACAAAAATGTAGTACTTGTTTTGAAAAATTTGATGTAATCCAATTTCTATGTAATATAGATCATGTCCTGATGAGCAAACCGCCTGCCGACCATTACACGACACAGCATTAATATTTCTGAAATATGGTACTTTCCATTCACTTATTAATTTCTTTGACTCCATACAAATTAACCGGACACTAGCAGATGTTATTTGAACCATCTTATTATCTGATGATTTACCACAGTAAAATGTTTGTAACTCAGATTCAAAACCTTCAACATATATTTCTTCAGCCTCTTCACTATGAAATGCCAACACTTTACTATGCCAAACGAAAGATAATACTAATGTATCATCTAGATCACTTTTAGTATTAAAACTTAGAGACCAAATCCCTTTAATTCCAAGCAAATCAATTGTGGCTATTTCTTGAATCCCTACTCCATTGTTTATAATTCTAAGAGATCCATCTTTATATGCCCCTTCAAATTATTAATAAAAAATAAACTAATTATTTCAAGGTATATCCTTCTTTTTAATTTTTTAAATAAGCAATACCTACTAAACATACCTGAACAAGTAACAATTTGTTCTTGACCACGTTGGTCAATATCGACTAAGCACATGTCAACAATTGGTCCTAAATTAAGATATTGATCTAAAAGTGTTATATGTGAACCATTTTCATTAAATTCATAATGCAATTTAATGAGTTGAGAGTCACCAAATTTAGATGCAACATAAATTACTTTGTTATCCAAATATGCAAGTGATATAGGAATACTAATTTCTCCTGAAAAACATATTTGTTGTATTGATATTCCAAAATATTAACATAATTGATTAACCAACCAAAATAACTTAAACATAAATCTGTAACTTTATATTCTCCATTTAATGTTTTTTCATACTTTAAAAATAACATAAACAAACATCCTGAATGGTCACCAAGTAAATATCTTGTTCCCTCTAAATCGACTGTAGTATAACATACAATTTCTATTTTCTGAAAATATAACAAACGTAAGAAATATATAACGTATCATTTTCAGTTAAAAATAATTTACCTGTCTTATGGGAAGACAAATAATATTAAAGGAGCCATTATGATAAAAAATTGAATTTTCACCAATAATAATAGTCCCACAGAGAGGCGAAGGAACAGGAATGACCATTGAAGCTTCTTTTTCAATACTTTTATATTTCTTAGAATCCTAGTTAAATATACAATTTAAATTTAACTTAATAAATTAGTGGGAAATTAAAAAATAAATTACCTCAATACATGTTATAAAATCAACAATTATTTTTTTTATTTTAATATTTCGACCCATAGCATTCTCATGAATGATTATAATAGTAGGGTGAGTAAAACCATACAAAAAACCAATATCTTGTATATTTGTTTCTTCCATCCTGGAATATATTATGACTTCATAAGTACAATAAGCATAATATGATACATTTAAAACAAATTAAGTGTTTATATAGAATTAGAATTAAGATATACAAATAAGAGATGATAATATTATGTAATAGATAACTCATGTTTGTTTTTTATATCAGATACATTTTTTTCGTGTATTCCATGATTTAACAGAATAATACCCTTTGGAAAATGATGGAATTTCTTGATGAACAATTTCTTACATTTTATCAAAGGATATCATTCTAATCTGCTGATATCAAAATCTATGATCGGTAATAGACTATTACATCTAATATTAGCAATTACTAATTAGTAAGTACATAGGAATTTTCGAAATACATAATTTTTATAATAATTTACTTAATGATATATGCATGCACATAACTTACGTAATAGAATACACTTCAAGTTCACCCTCTTTGTCTAATGGTATGATTTTAAGCATTTTTTCAAATAATTTTAGCATAACTAATTTGGCATTAGGATCAATTATGCCCATAAATTCTGTGGCAACCCCAAAATGATCAAATACATTACAATGCCCTTTTGTCATCATTTCAATTTTATCAGATGCCTGAGTATATTCTAAAATCATTGCATCGTATTGAGCAGTTACTACAAATATAAGGTCTGTAATTTTGTTCTGAAAAATAAAATCAATAATAATAATTTTATTACTTTAAATGTAGGTAGTAGATTTAAATTGATTCATCATCATTCATCATACTTTAGGTCTAAAAACTTTCATTATTTCAACTTTTCCTTTTAATTCCGTTTCTGATAGTAACAAGAGACCATGTTCATTAATTAGGTATATTTCTATGCAATTCAATTTTGCAACAATCAAATTGCGTTGTACTGGTGAGATAAAAAATCCTAAATTTATAAATAAAATGTATTTATTAAATAAATAAATAGTGTATAATATATTCATACACATTCAAGCGGTAACAAAAATAGGTATCAGGTATCTAAAAACCATAATGTATACATCGAGGTATACATAAACGTGTAGGTAACATTGATTTTAAGGGTTTGATATTTATTTTACAAGCTAGGTAGGTAGGTATTTGGCAGTGGGCATTCATTTTATGCGATTTTCTAATTTTTCTCCAGAAATCTATATTATCTGGACATGTTTATATTTTAGATTCTATTCCTTCCATTTTTAGTTATTGTCATTAAATTGTACAAAGTTCAACCATTTTTTTACTAGTTGCTTTTTATTTAACAAATAACGTTTCAAATTTCAAAATATGTATAGATTTTCATACTGTTTTAAAATTGAATCAAGACAACAATTAAGATAAATTAAGTGTCTTATTTATTTTTTCTTATTTAATTAAGTAGAAATTAAAACTAATTACCTACCCAAATATCAAAATATATTTTTACTTACATAAAAATAAACATATACACATTAATTATTCATCTGGTTAAATGCAAAGTATATTATGTAGCATATTATTATAAGTATATATTATTAAAACAATTTAAGTGAGCATGTGCATAATATGGGTATCTTTAAACTGTTTTTGAGAATTGAAGATTCCTTTCAAATTGCTTTTAAACTTTAAATCATAACAATCGAAATATATTTATTCCACAATAGATGACATATGATTATTATTACATTATTTTCTAAATATATAAAGACATAAAGTACATTTGAACAAATTCCAATCCACCTGTTATTTTACTTTGTATATTTTTAAATTAAAAGAGCAGTCAAGGATGTCTGTAGCGGGCAAGTAGTGGCAGTTTTCCAAACATTTTTCAAATTCTTCCCCCTTGACAAATTTCTGCGGGCGTCCTTGACAGGTAGTGTTTAAAGGTGTACGATAGAGATGGGCAACTCAAAGTTACCAAAGTGCCAATTTTTAAAACTTTAAAATCTAGCAGGCCAGAGAGCAAAGAAAGCAAAAAAAAAAAAAAAAATTGGTTAAGTGGATTTGCTCTGGTGTACAAGTGGGTCACTATAATGGATTGTTTTAAATTTTAATCCAATGATATGAAATCATTGTACACGAAGAAAGGTTCTGAGCGAAGATGATGTCAGCCTATAATATTACTTATACCTATATTTGATGTGATATTATTGTGATTAAAGTAATTAATTTTACTATTAGGCATTAGTAGAACAGTAGGTTAAATTTATTTTTACCCAAGAATACAAAAAAATAACTAAAATCGTTATTCTTGGTTTTAATATATCATTTTGTCCTAATTTGAACTTAAACTGTCTGTAAAAAATAGCTGTGTTTATATATTTTTTAGATTTTTTGGTTACAGTATAAACTATTTATGAGAATCCTTAATTTAAATTTTCAATCCTTGGCTATAAAAATTGAACATTTTATATTTTTTTAATTACAATAAATTTGAAAATCTTGGAGATTTTAATAAATTTTGTCAGCATTTGAACTTTAAATACTTATAAATTAAAATCGTGCATAAGGATCTTTAATATTTATCAACTGCTATCATAAAACTTATAAGGAACCTTAATAATACGCATTTTCAAGCTTTTTGACCCAATGAATGCAATTTTAATGAAATGTATAGAATAAAAAGCATAAGATATCTTATTTTATTTATAGGTCAATAAATGTCGCAATATTTTGAAAATTATATCTTGCATGGAAATATTCAATAGAAATTTAATGTATCTACAGATTTATTTTTTTGATTTACACTAGTCGATAACTGGTTTTATGTAAATATTTAGGTTTTTTATTAACTTTTTGTTTGTTTTTCCTGACACTTTTGAAATTATTAGATTCTGAGTGGAACGATGAATGTATTGATTTTACAATGATGTGTGTTTTTTTTTATTTTTATTTTTATTTTTTTATTTGTGTCTGTGTACACGATAAGTAGTCGAAATAATGCTTCGATTTTCAACTTCAGTATCTTGTTCGATTGGAAAGTGAATATCGTTGGTGCATTGGGGAGGTCAAAATTTAAATTCCCCAGTAGTTTTCAAAAGCGCCGGGAAAAACAAAAGAAAAATTAAGGAAAAACGGGAATTTTTACGCAAAATCTGTTTTCGAGAAAATCGATTTTGGTTTTTGGTGTAACTTTAAAACAAATGACCGTAGATACATGAAATTTTCAGTGGTTGTTTATATTTGCATTTTCTATACATGATAACATTTTCAAAATATTTTGATTTATTTTTAACTGTTTAGGGACATTTTCATTTTCCATATTTTTTTAGTTTTTTTTCTAAAAATATTAATAAAATTTTATTTGTTGGTTAATATAGCTTGAAAATTTAATAGAAGGCTCCTAGTATATTGTTTCAAAGGCAGATGAAAATATTAAAAACCCTTAGTCACAGTTTTTTTTTACAAGCGTTTAAAGTTCAAAAATTGACAAAATATGGAAAAAATCACGAACTATAACAAATTATTTTGAGTTCAGAATTCGTAAAAATTTTTCTTTTTAAATATAATATTTTAAAATGTAATACAAGATTCCATATAAGATTTTCTACATTTATCAAAAAAAAAAATGTCTATAAGAAATTCAAATTAAATTTTGATGACCGTTAGAAATTAAAATTTTTACAACATTGGATTTCAACACTCAATTTCTAATGTGGCGATTTCCTTATTTTTTTGTAATTCATAAACGAATAACTGTAAACTCATGAAAATTTCACTGAATGTTTATATTATCATTTTCTATACACCATACACTTTTGAAAATATTTTGACTCTTTTTGAGCTGTTTACGCACATTTTCAGTTTTCAATTTTTTTAGTTTTTTTTCTATAAATATCGATAAAGTTTTATCTGTTGTGCCAAAAAGTGAAAAAATTGAATACAAGGCTCCTGATATATTGTTACAATAGCAATTGATTAATATTAAGAATACATATTCACAATTTTTTTATAAGGATTTAAAGATCGAATTTTGACAAAATTTATCAAAATCTCGAAAAATTTTAAACATTGTAATTAATGAATTATAAAATGTTCAGTTTTTATAGCTAAGGATTGCAAATTTAAAACAAAGGTTCTCATAAATAGTTCATACTGTAACCAATAAATCTAAAGATAAATGAACACAGTTATTTTTTACAGACATTTTAAATTCAAATTTGGACGAAATTACATATTAAAATCAATATTAACGATCTTGGTATTTTGTTGTAATTTAAAAATATTTTTAAGGGATATATGAAACTGAAAAATCAAAATATTATGGCCTATCCATACAATCTACTATAGTATAAGAAATAAGAAGTATACTCAGGGTTTGTTATTGATGTTTAACCCGTTATAAATACCTAATGGATATTGCGATATGATTAATTTGAAATTTATTAAAGGTACAATTTTGTTTTTAATACCATAGATAAGTATATAATATATCTTATACCTAGACTGGCATACCGTCTCCGCTCGGAATCGTTTTTCTTATACAATGATATTATATCATTGAATTCAAATTTAATACCATCCATTATTCAGTGACTCCCTTGTAACCTACTGTACAGCAGAGCGACTTTTTTTTACTTTAGACTCCCCAAAGTACAAAATAGAAAACTTTTGTATCAGAAAAGATGCTGTTGAAGAAATTGAAGCATTTTATTTTCCAAAAGGTGATGATAGACAAAAAAAAATGTAAATATGTAAAATATAGCTTTAAACAAAGTATAATATAATTTATTTTATTTAAATTTATTTTTCTTAATTATGAATCCATGTATTATTTCAATATATTATATTAATACTAAAATTTCATAATTTTACCTAGGTAAATAATTATTTTACTTATTTAATAAAATACATTTAAAAGTAATTAAAATTAAAAATTTGATTGATACTACAATAAAATTATTGAATGTAAATAATTTAGACATTTTATACCTTCAAGGCATTGCATATGATGGATATGCTGGATTGGCCAACATTTCAATCCCTTGATTTTATATACTCACTGTTCAAACCCCATATTTAGTAATTAATACAGTTGGTATAATTACAAATTATAATAATTTTTTATGAGAGAATATTTGCTTTAAAATCAAAACATTTAAGTTTAAAAATAACAGAACTTTTACCAGCTCAGAAAGCAGTTAAGACAAACATTGAAATCATTGGTTTGAATGGTATGATAAAATTTTACACAAGTTATGTTACTAACCAAAATTACAACTTATGGAAGAAAAAACCTGAAAAAGCAGATACTCCAACAGAAGGGTACAAATGTACTTATATGCTACAACAGTGACTTCAGAACCATCATTTAGTTCATTGAAACATATTCAAGGCCTAGGTACAATGAATTAGAATAGACTCAATGGCTTAGCAATGCATCATATTAATAAAGGTATAGCTGTAACTCCATAATAGTTATTGGATACCTAATATATTTTCTAAAAAATATAAAATATGAAAACTTCAATTGGATTTGTAACTAAAATAATATACATTGTAAATATAATTATATTATTATTAGGTATTAAAATCTATTTTTTATTTATATTTCATATTAATATAATATTATATAATTTATAATTCATTTGCTGAAAATATAAACATTTAAAAACATGTAAACATTTTCTAGATCTGCTACCAGGTTGCATAAAAACTGATTAATTTAATGGTGCCTTAAAATGTAATGGACCAATCATGGGCCACTAAATCATGCTAAGGAAAAATTAGCTTATAATATTGATTCAATATTTAAATGTTAAGTGATTGTTTGTGCAACCCAGTATCAGTCTATACTTTTTTATTATTTGATCGTTCACATTGACCATCGATTTTCTTTTGATAGTAGAAATAGAAACTATTCGGTAGTCCATCACAAAGTAAAATCTGCAAGAAACAAATGTAGGTAGGTACCTGATTCGCTGAAACTGGGGGCAGTAGCCTTGATTACCGTGGTCGTGTAGAACTGGGAATTCATTATGGTTCTGGTTTCAGTGTAGGTTCACAACTGCTACTATGGCTATAATATTATACTATATAATATGGACTCGTTTTGCCTAAAACGCAAATATCAATATAATATTACAATGTTTAAAATGTTTAAAATATTTACAATAGGTATAGTACAGGCACATCGTACCATGCAATCATAAACCAGATAATGAAGTAGGTACCAGATGCTATTATTAATATTTCCTTCACAGAGTACGTCCTCCTTACAGCCGACGATCAGAGCAAATAAAATTCAAATACACACAGGAAAAGGACGGACAGCGTCAACTCGACTGCACCAGATAGGGGGCAATGACTCATATAACTGCGATCAGCAGGTGGGAGGAACGCCAGGGCCGCCGTGTGGATTCGGGAAGCTTTATCGATTGCTAACAGTGTGAGCGTGTGACCCGCCTACGGTAAATGTCAGCTTTCGGTTTTCAGTAAATTAATAAAATCGCTATATTATTCCATACCTAATTGTGCTAATTAGAGCATCATCTATTATAACGAACGTTTATAATATAATATATTGTATAAAACACAATAATATAATATTATGAACCTAATAATATATTGTATAAAATACAATAATATAATATTATGAACCTAATAATATATTGTATAAAATATAAAATATGAATATTTTTAGTTGATTTTTGGCAATAGCGTATAGTGACTGGAATATTCTATGATAAAGCCCATAGTTGACTTCATCAACTATCACAAAACAAGTTAGCTATCACCAATCACCATAGTATAAAAAATAATATTAATTATAATCTTGCTTATATCTTGCTTATATACTATGCCTTTCACGAATATTGCGATCTAAAAAGTTGTTTATATATCTGTGGGCTGTGTCTCGCTTTATGAGGTATGCCTCTTGGCTTGCGTTATCAACCAAGACTTGAAAATAATATAATAATAGTCCAAAGTCACAAGTAACCGGCCACTGTACAGGGGTACTCCATTAAATGGGCGGCTTTAATTTGGGCGGATGACTCAAAATGAAGTATCATTTGGGTGAATTTAACATATCGTTTAGGAAAAATTACATTGCCCCTTAAATGATATACCTATGTTCAATACATAAATTGTGAGAACTTATAAAATATAAATTATTTATGAAAATTATGAACTTGAACGTTTTCCTTCCTATTTTTAGAGACTTAGGACCAGTGGTGGTTTTGGATATGAGGCAAGTGAGGCAGCAAGTGAGGCCTTAGCTAAAATGTTGAAATATAAATAATCCTCAATAAGTATATTTCTTGGCTCACCGATGACCGATAGCACATATTTCGATGATAATTTTTAACGTATTTATGATTTTATTTGAGAAAAATTCTTCTTTACGAAGTTTAATAATGTGAATTATGAATTATCATTTATTAATTTCTCATCACCAAAACCAAGTGGGATCTTAAAAAGAAAATACCTAAAAACCTGTATAAGACAGTGTTCATACCACAAATGAGCTATGCGGCTTCTGTGTGGGCCCCGAAGTGCATGACTAACGGACACCACCGAGGAAGAGCTAACAGCGCTTAAAAGACGCCACTACGAGCGCTAACAGGTGCATAAAAAACTACCTCAACAATGGCGCCGCAAGTATTAGCTGGGGTACCTCCTCTCGACCGGGAATTATTACGAATAGCCAGGATCGAAAAGGATAGGATCGCCGTTAGGAAAGGGGCTTTGACGATGGAAATGGCTTAAGTTAGAAATGTTAGGTACGGCAACAACACCCTCAACCTCTGGCAGAGCAAGTGGGTCACCAGTGACAGGGGTAGATGGACTGCGAAGTGGTTTACTGGCGTCAAGCGTCGGTTGGACCGTGTGTGGTGCAATATATCCATATACGTCCCAGCTGATGTCGGGCCACGAGAACTTCAAGGCTTATCTCCGCCGTCTTAGCCTTAGAAGCGACGCAACTTGCCAGTGTGGGTTCCCTAATGGAACCTTCGGAGCATTTTCTGCTGGAATGTCCGATGGCGAACCAGAAGAGAGAAAAACTCAAATTCGCAATGCGAGCGGCTGGTGCTGAATGGCCGTGCGAGTTAGAGTTCATAACAAGAACCAAGGTCTTGTATTTGCTCACAACACACTTGGATAAGCTGATAAAGGGTTACCTCGTTAGACGCTATTGGTGATAAAAGTATAATTCCAATACTTGGCCCTGAATGAACTTATAGTGGCCAAGGGAAAGTACCTTTCTATTCCACACGAAAACAAATATGAGAGTGAGGAATATAGGAGCGATTACGAGAATCCAATGTAATACTCCGATAAACCTTGCAACACACCGATGAGAACGTTGAAATGGAAAAATTGGAACGGAAGGGTAGGCAAAAGCAAACGCGCGCATTTACCTCGAACCCACGCCGATCCTTTCTTATTCAAAATCGATCAAGAGCTCGAACTAAAATGCGATTGGCCCTGTGCGAATAGACCTAACCAGTCATCTACTATCAGCTACTAAAAATCCGAAGAAAAACTCGGTGCGGGATCGGAAATCCGCTTAGAAAACCGTTCCTCTCAAATATAAGGTAGTGTCGCTGTAGACGAATAAATCCTTCCCCCGACACCTGTGCTAGTGGGAACCAGGTCGTTGTAAGTACAGGGATCAATGGAATCCTAAATCTAGTTCTGCCGGAATCGGAGAGTGCCCCACTGATCAAACAATGCTCCGATTAACTATGGCACTCGCGTCCGATAGTCAGGCGGGCACATTGATTGCTCCTGAGCACGCTGGGCTGTCGCGCGTCCGTGACTTATGTGGATGACCTCGAGGAGGTTGTGGAAGTACCGTCTTAGTAGAATGGAGGGTGCTCGATCTGGGTAATTACCCGACTCCGCCGATGCTTCATACGAAAGTCACGAAATACCTTAAGTGCGTATCTTTTGGGCCACCGACTGGCGCCTAGGCGCCCAGTTCACCCCCTGTTATGGGAAGTAGTCACTTCACTAGACTTAGAGGATTCAATCTTGCAAAATATGGCTAAAAGTCTAAGAAGCCACCAAGTAATGGACTCGTACCTTCCCGTCACACAGTGGTTTATGAAAACCCTGCATCCTAATCCCGGAGATAGTCGTTGCTCACTCCCACTTTATCCGACAATACGGCCTTGCTACCATACAGAATATAGGCAATTGCATAACTTTCTGAACGATTTCAGTCGCTGAGAACATGCATGAATTCTAAATTCGTCACGCATCACCAACGCATAAATTAACGAAATTTTGATATTTTGTTGTCATTCTAAATTTCAAAATTATAAATTGATGCCGGTGGCTGTAAGTCCTGGTATAGCTCCTTAATCTTAAGTCCATGACTCTCTTGAGAAAATATAATTAATGATTATGTAGATCTACTGTATAACGCATTTACTGCGTGATCATACTGGGATGCCCGTTCAGTGATGTGTAGATAATAGTAATTTGCCCGTTATATAATACCACCACAGCACATCCCTGAGTACTCTAAAGCAGGGCCGACCCTAGGGTCTCGTTGTCCGGGTTACCTTAGCACCTAATTCTAAATGTATCGGTGTACATGCTATCAATTAACATACACAATCAAACCAGAAATGTACAAATTATTTTTATTAAATTATAAAAAGTTTACAAAAGTTAGCATTTTCGAAAGGAAATTGCATAACACTCCAAATAATGCCATATTTACTACATTTTTTAAAATTTTATTATGTTATTCAACAGAATAATACCTTTTTTTTTTTAACTGTTTAGAACCGAAGACGCCGCGGGAACTGCTTTCGCATAACCACCGCGGCGCCGCCAAAAACAGAATAATACCTAGAATACTAGGTACATTTTGTTTTTATATTATCCATAATTGTCTAGTAATACCACCGCTAAACGTGGTCGACTTTTATGATTGTAATTATTGTCAATGAACAATAATTACTGAAGAAGTAGCTGAAATAAGGCAATCTACTCACAAAGTAAAATTTACGTAAGCAAAATGTTTAAGATATCTAAGTATTATTCTATAGAATAATAAAATGAAAATAAAAACTGAAATAAATAGTGGCTTATTTAGAGTTACATGCAATTTCCTTTCAAAAAAAAACATTTTGGTCAACTTATTTTTAATATTTTAGTTTAACTAAAACGATTTGTAGATCCAACCTTGCAACAGCCAGCAAGTAATTGAAACGTCGAGCAATGACTTGCAACATAAGGCATTATCTACTTGTAACCGGAAGCAAGGACATTCAACTGGTGTAAGAACTTGCAATGACGAGTAAGGTTAGGTTAGGACTTGACACTTGAAATAATACGAACAATGAAGTACTTGCTAGTTGTTGCAAGTTGTTGCCCACTGCTACAAGTATTAATTGCTCCCTGTTGCAGGTCGTTATTCGCCATTGCAAGCACTTGTTCGTTGTTGTAAGTCACCCATGCAATTATTAGTTTAATACCTAACGAATGATTAATGGTAGGTCAACAATTTGTATCATGGTCGTCAAAAGGAAGCAATACGTATAGTGTGACCAAGTTAAGACGATGACCAGATAACCGTTTAAAACCGGTTTAGTCCCATGTTAACGTCATCGTCTTAACTTGGTCGTACTGTACAATTTAAAAAAAAAAATTTTAATTTAATAATTTTTTTTTCAAAACGTTACCTAAAGTGGCTGGCACAGTTTAATTTTATTCAATTTTTGAATGTTTTATAACAACTGTGATACTCAGATTATTCAGTATCTCAGATTACTATCCACGTACAATAGTGCTCGATGTTTCAATTTTATATAAGAAATCACTGAAAAGACTCATAGAGGTAGCCCACTGTGCAATTTATGTTTCATAACGTTATGGGGACGTTATTATAGTCTTTTATATCAACGTTGCTTTGTAACGTAAGTACGATATAACCGGTTTGTTTTTGTGTGCTAAAAAAAGTTACAAATAGTGAAGTACCACATGAAATGTACCATAGCTGTTTTTGTGTGCTGTTATAAGTTATCAAAAATTAGGTACACATGAAACGTACCGACGTCGTTATCAAGGGGCTCTTGTTATAATTAGACGTAGCGCGTCGGTGTTGTTTTCCAATTTCTGGGTAATACCCTGATACCCCGTATGACCGTATGAAAGGTTTATATTAAACTGTGTATATATATATAATATGTATATTATCAACAATAAGTAATTGACAATATTATAATCGTCAATAAAATTCATTATGTCCTGTGCTCCAGACTCGTTCGTTTGTCTACGGCACTACGCGTTTTCGGTTCTCATGCTCAGCGTTTGAACGTTCAACTGTACTAAACATTTATTCAATAATCGCATCGAGATTTATTATTTTATTATGGCCGATAATAAAAGAAAGGTATGTTTTACTTTAAAATATTTTTCATTATTTATTTATTAACCTGGTAAGTAGGTACCTACATTTTGTAGTTACCATTATTAAGAGGATGGCAGCGCAATATTTTTCTCTCAGACTCATGCACAACTTAGATAAATCGCTTTCACTTACTATCATTGTTTTATGATTGACAATATACTTATATTATATACCTATCGGTTTTATATTTTTTTATTATTTGACTGAATTTGACTTTCAAAATAAAAACAAAATTTTGTAAATTTAAATTGTTTTGAAACAATGTTTAAACAAATCGATATGTTTACCCTCAAAAATTTAATCTCTAACATTTTTGTAATTGGTGATTTTACTCTAAGATTACTCAAAAACATAAAAAAAATGATTCTGCGTAAATGTGTTTTGTCTATGTTGCGCGTGGTCAGACAGAAAATAAAACAAACAGTAGGTACGCTGACATCCTCTGAAGTCTGAACTCAATATAATATAATATGTAACATAACAATATCTGGTATCTACTTGTATAGGTTTCTCCAAGGTGGGTGATTGTCTTATTCCCTGAGTACAATAAGGAGTATAGTGTTGTACCAATAAATTGGTTGACTCAAACCAATCCTCAGTTTTGCTACTGGCCACCTGGAATTGTTGACAGTGATGTCCTACAAATGGCTGAGGATCCTCAATGTACATGGACTAAGTATCAAGTTAATGTTCATGGTGGGAACAAAACTTATGGTAAGCAATTATGAAAACTTATTTAATAAATAGTTAGAATTTATTTGTAAACAATTATAAAAATTGACTCATAAAAAAATATTTGATTTATATCACAGATAACTTTAGGAAAGCATGGTATCAGCAGGTAGAGATTGAAAAATCAACTATGGAAACAGAAGTAGAAGAACACGAAGTCTTAAGACATAAAAGAACTAAAAAGATGCCATCTTTGAAAAATAAGTCTGTATTTGATGTATCTGATGAAAGCGATAATTCCAGAAATTCTGATAGTAATTGTTTAAATTTTCATTTCTTTTATTTGTTAAAGTCATTAGTTATAATTTAAATAATTGTATTTAGGTTGTTTTGATGTAATGGCTTCATCTTCCAACCAACATTTAACAGTAACTGTTCCGGCTGCACCGATAGGTAAATTAGCTTCAACTAGTAGTTTTTCACCAACAGTTGGAGTAGAGTCTGCATATAGTCTGGATTACACAGAATTGATGCCAAAAATATCAAAACAAACCATTCAAACTGCTCATTTGTGTTCTGCATCAGACATTTCACCTAAGGTATTTATAGTTACTTATGTCTTGCCATTATAATGTTTTGTATGTTTATGTATCAATCTAAACGTAGCATATAGATTTTCAACTTGTACTTAATAACTACATATTCCATAATTCACATAAATGTTTTAGCAAAGCAATTCAATAGACACATTAAGTGAGATGGTTCTTCAACAAAATAATGGTAATAATACTTAATACTCAAATATTGAAGTGATGGAAAAATAATTTTTTTAAATTACTTTTGAATAATTAATACCCCATTGGTACCTAATAATATAATAATGTTGTGTTTAAAAAAAAATACAATTTTTATCAATAAATATTTTAACAAAGATAAATCATTAAATATTTCATAATTTAATACTTAAAATAACTGCTTGAATGTATAACTCAGGT